AAGGAATCTGCATCGCTCCCATTGAATGATCTGGGTACACAATTGATCTGGGCACTCTGGACAAGATGCCTGTAGGTTCATTATCCAAAGCTTTCGAATCATTTTTGGAAAAGTAGGCTGTTACTTTTGAGTTCATCCATTAGCCTGTCTTATAAAAATAAGAATAATATTCACATGCTGTGCTTCTCTCTTTACTGAACCTTTCTTCACTCTCTTTGTGTGAGGATTAAGTCATAAATGAGTTGATTGAAAGAGTTTTTCTCACTAAACCAATGTTAAATATGTGCATTTTTGTACTGTTTTCTGTTTACTGATTAGATTTCTACAGGCAGCATGTGTTTTAATGTGGCAGTAGTTGCAAGTAAATATTTCATGGGCCTGTCCATTGATCAAAATTTCTTACATTATGTTTCTGTCTAGAATGCACAAAGAAAAGGCTTCCTCATTCTCATTCTTAATATATATACACTTACACATATACGATTTAAGGTTGGACTTAGAAATTAATGGTTGAATAAACTCCTGGAATTACAGTAGCATTCTCCCAATGGATCCATTAATGCTTTTGTTAGAGTCTTATTAAGGAGATTAGCAAATCTAGTGAGAAGTTGATCTTCCATCTGTTACAGCTGCAAGGTATCCAATTGCCACTTACAGAAAGCAAAAGGAACTGAATTTACTCTGTGGGTAGGAGAATTTGGGATGTATCAATCCCTCCACCACTAATGTTCATGACTGTACTGTTGATTTCAGTGAGATCTGGAAAGTTGTCTGATACAGGGTGACAGCTGGTGTGGGACTTACTACTTAAAAAACAAAATATTGTTTATTTTTTTAAAATGTTCGGTTGTGCTACTTCTTTAGCCAGTGGTGATATATTTGTTCCTCGAAATTGTGCTTTGGTTCTTAAACAGAGGATCCGCAGTTGACAAATGCTGAGAACCCATGGATTGCATAAAGGACGTGGCAGATAGAGATAAAATTATACTTTAGGCTCTTTAGATGTTAATGGAAGCTACTGTTTCAGCGCCTCTGGAAACCAGGCCACTTGAATACTGATAATAGCCGAGAGCTGCGACTAGGCATGGCAAATAGGGTAAGAATATACATCAAGTGTGATTGGGAGCACATCTCTGTGCTCCTGCCAGCACCCTGCCAACACCAGCTACTGGCACTGTAGGGGTCTGGCTTTATGAACTGTAAATGTTCAAGTGAATCAGCATGTAGAGAGTTCACTGGACTCGATAATGGAAGAAAAAAGTTGAGGGAGAAAGGAGGCTGGACAGACTGATTCCCAGCATAATTGTAGGACTGTAGTCCTGTCAGTGGAGTCAGAGCAGGCATGCGTTTATTAACATTTGCATGTACCTAATCACAATTGATGTGTGCATTTTTTTTATTAATCTGTATTTTCATAGTTTATTCTATAATCAGTCTGCTATAGTGTTCTTTCTTACTGTCTCTTTCTTTCTTCCTTTCTTTCTTCCTTCCTTCTTTCTTTCTCTCATTCTTCCCTTCCTTCCTTCTTTCTTTCTCTCTCTCTCTCTCTCTCTCACCTTCTCATTTTATCTGCTATATCACAAATATAATTTGCTGATAAACATATTGAAATGTTCTCCTATATTTTAAATGTCTCTTTGATAGGGTAACAAAACATAATAGATCAAAGAGATGAAATATACTGCTGACCAGGAAGCAGCATGGCATTGTTTTAAAGATACATTAATTTGACAGTGTTTGATAATGATCTAGTGCAAGTATACCTTTTTGCCAGTGTCAGTTGACAACGTGCACAGAGTCTCTTTTGCCCGTCACTGTAGTCGCTGCTGGGTTATCAGTGGTGCTCTATCCATAGCTATTCACACAGCATCATTTAAAAATCTCAGCTCTGTCATGATGCTGAACATTCATCCAAGTCCTCTTTCTAGCCACAGGTTCAGGTACTTTCACGTTTCAGACTGAAATAGTTTAGTCTGTGCTGAATCAAATGCCTTGTAAATGAGATTAATCTCAAAGAAGATACTCCAGGTGCACCAAAGCTGTAAGAAACTGCTTACCTTACATATTTATTTATAGGGCACTAATCACCATAGTGCCTGGTACTGTCTCCATCCAGATTTGCAATACTGTGATGAGCTGACATGCTCTTGTTTGCAGCCCTGGGATTAGAAGGCAAGATCGTTTTCAGGGAAGGGCCACTTTTCTTTCAGCCTTTCCCTGCTGGCCCAGCAGAATCCGAGTTCAACGCTTGAAGGTCATCTGGCAGTTTAGTCTGCAAGGCCCATAGTGCATAGTGCCTTGAAGTGACTGACCACTGCCTTGCTACCGAGCTGAACTGGCTTTGTGAGATTTTAATGGTTTCTCACACAGCACAGGTCCTGCAGATCCAATGAGGAATGGAGTCTTATTATGAGAAATTAAGTGAAAGCAAAGATTTGAAATAAAAATAGTAAAAATTGGTAAACAGACTTCTATTTTAATGTTCAGTAGGATAAAATATAGGAAAGGATAACTTTAAATAATTGGGGGAAATTATGTAATGTATCCTGCTTGTAGATGAGTAAATATTTTGAGAATACAGGAAGTCCTGGCTCATTCTCCAAGTGGACACAGGCAGAAGTTTTTCAAGGAGAGTGTCCAGGGGTGCCACAAACTGATTTTCCCACAAATAATGCATTTGTTGATTCCATTTGGATCAGAAATTATATCTGGATATGCATCTTCAATGTCTTTAACAAAGAGAGAGTGCTTCTTCCATCACCTCCAATGCAAGTTTCACATGGGCCCTAAGGAAGAAGAAATTGTGAGCTGACCTGTCTTGTTAAGTTTTCATGTGTGTGATATACCTGTGATTTTCTGCCTACAGGTCACATTCTCATTTCAAACTGAAGTGCCAAGCACGTCTCTGTGAGACGTGGACAGCATTTTGTACAGAAGAAGTCTGTGAAGGCAGCACAGACCCAGAAAGGTCCTTTGTTTTGGGCTGGCCCACCACAAACTGTGTGGTGAATTTCAGGTGAGCATTGATATATGTTTTATTTATCAAGTTACCTAAGTTTACCAAGGCAACCAGGCAATGAAGCTATCGCAAATGCCTTTCAGCACTCGTGACTGCAAGCCTGGGATGTAAGAACTTACTAGTTCTTAAACCAACTCTTTCTACTATTGTAGGATCCTCTGTTTTTTAGTGTAATTAGACAACCCCCCTGGTTAATTAATAAGCTGCGCTAGAAAGTGTGAACAGCCAAGATAATGAGAGGATCAGAGAGACCCTTGTAGGACACTTTTAAGCAGAAGAGCTTGTATTGGAAGTAGTAGAAAACATGCAGTGAAATACTGACCTTCTCCTACTTCTCTTTTTAATTAAACTGTGCCAGAGAAAATGTCAAACTTCGTCCTAAAGTGGATTCTCTGAATTTTAATGGAAAGAAAGATTTTTGGTCTGGTTCTCAGCAGTGTTGACACATAAGGGCTATAAAGATAATTTCAGTCATTAGGCAAATTTTATTCTCAGCAAGAGGGCTTTTTCATCACTTTGGATAAGGGAGGGCACCATCCTCCTTAAATCCCAGGTGGTCAGCTGCAGCAATTTGGTTGGATCTTGGCAAAGGCATTTTCCTTTTTACCAACAGAGAACAAAAACTGAGGCATACAGCTTGATTTCTACGTCACACTGCCCCTATGCAGCAGCAGTACTGCACACAAACTGCTGTTTATTGAGCTGGTTGTGCTGTTTATGTTTTCTTTTCTTTTTTTTTCCACTTAATAGACCTGAAACAAAGCTGAAATTTTCTATCGATTTTCAGTTGAACTTCTGCCAATAAACATGAGCTTTGATCTAGAGACAAAGCTGATCCTTTATAGCTACCAAAATATATTTGGATATGAACACAATAACTTCAGTCCAAAGAGAATCAAGGATTTTAAAGGAGTGAAATGGCTTTATATCTGGGTATAAATAGAAAAACTAAAATACCCTGTGTGAGTCTGTAGGTAGTGTCCTGGTTAACTGGAGCAGCAAAAGCAGAATCACAGTTCTGATATGTATAAAGCATGTGCTCCTGAAGCAACATCATTCATTAGGTTTGCAATTCCTTGCTCTGAAATTCTTTCTCTGGAAATGAAGGACTGAATTTGTAAAAGCAGTGATGGGAATAGCAACTATTTCTTCTGGGGCAGGATTTAGTTCAAGAAAGCTGAGGCAAAATTAGATTAGATTCATCATGTAGTTCTATTATTAGCTTTGTTTAACTGGATGGTTGTGTATCCTTGAAAGTGTACAAATAAGTATTCAAAAAATAAAACCTAAATATCTATAAGCAAAATGGGGCCTTTTTTACTGTGGTGCACAGGACCTTGCCTAAACCAAGTAAGAAATAAGAAGAAAGAAAAATTTGAGAACTACAGGAGCTCTGTATACCTGAATGTAACTTTAAACTTTTGAATTAAGCTCTTCTTTTAAAGCATCCTGCTCTTTTATTTGGATGTTAGCTCAATCTGTAAATGGATGTTTCATGCAAATCTGCAAAACCTATTCAGTTTTTATACGCATTTGTGGAAATTTCAACAACAACAGCAACAAAAAAAACCCCAGTCCGTTTCATCATGCTTTGTGCAAGGGCTATTTTGGTACTTGAATGCTGGCTGATTTGTCCCTGTTTTTCTATAATTCTTGCAGATCTGCCGAACAAAAGGAAACATGGCTTTCTTTTTTGCAAAGGTACTTTTATTATAGAGTCTTTAAGGGCATAGAAAAGAGACCAAGTGACCTAAACCAGCGATTCCCTGCTCTTTCCTGTCTGCTGCTTATGACCGCCTGTATCCTCATTTGAATGGAGAACAGTGGAGTTAATTTTGGTTTACAAAAGCTCATGTTCCTAAAACATGCCCCGAGCCAGAAGCTGTGGTGACAGTGTCTGAGTAAATAGATCTGTCTCAGTTCAGCCAGAATTGGACCCAAACTGCTAGCGACACCTAGTTCTGCTAATTGTGATTTATGTCTTTATCTGGTTCTTTAGAGTTTGTGAGGTTGTTTAAATCATTCTTGCTGGAAATGATTTCTAAATCACCGTTCTTCACTTCTTTGAGCTGTTCTATGCAATAGGCTGTAACTCATTCAACTAGGAGGCTAGAGTGCAGCCTAAGGCATCACAACAATAGGTAGTTTTTCTCTTTTTTTTTTTTTGTTTGAATGTGTCCTTTCTTTGCTTCAGCCCATTATTCATAGTTTGGCCTCCTTATATAACCTCTCTGTGCAACAGCTCTGCTCTAGAATTTATATCCTGGGTCATGATTGCAAATTTTTAGCCTATAAATTCTGTTCGTACGCACTGTTCCAGGGTGTAAATTCTCTGTTTTGGTGAATCTTCCACAGGTTGAGAGGAAAATGAGGTACAGCTCCCCAGACCCAACTTTTGGCTCATAAATTCCTGAGCCTACAGGGAGTCTTCCTGCGATCTGGGCCATGAGAGAAGGGGCAATGGCAGGAGGGTCAAGGGGACGAGGGAGCTGGAGCCAGACACAGGTTCTAGGGAGATTTGCGGGCTTCCTTAAGAATAAAATTTATATTATATAAAGTTTATAATATTAAAATTTTACTTTTTTTTATTTATTTTGTCAGTCGAATAAGAGAAGAGAAGGAAAAAGACTATCCTAAAAGTATTCCCCTGAAGATAATTGCAAAGGATGTTGGAACTTGTGCATATGTAAGTAGTTTTGAGCTGAAATCTGGTCTAAATCTGAATCACCTGTGAGTGCTTCTCACCTATAAGTTGCAATGTGTTTTGTTCTTTATAATGATTGTATCAGTAAAACTGTTCATATGAACACCCTGACATTGCCTTAAAAATGTTTTTTATCACTTGACCGATATTGATAAATTCATAGGCAGGTAGATTGATAAAGAAATATTATCCGCAGGGGGTATTTGCACCTTTTTTACTAAGTCATTTTAAGCCCAATTTAAGTGAAGTTCTTGTGGGTAGACAGTTCCCTAGAGATGCACTAGCATTTACTGATAAACTATTCATTCTCTCTCTGCTTCTTATCCTTTCTTTCTTTTTCTTTCTCTTTCTTTCTTTCTTTCTTTCTTTCTTTCTTTCTTTCTTTCTTTCTTTCTTTCTTTCTTTCTTTCTTTCTTTCTTTCTTTCTTTCTTTCTTTCTTTCTTTCTTTCTT